TCTGGTTCTTCATCACTAGGATCTGCTAGTTGATCGAATTCGATTTCGTCTGTATCAGTTACAGTTCATGATATGTCATTCTGTAATTCTAATATTTTGATTTTAGTTTTTAATTGTTCTATTTCTGTTTTTATTTCATTTACTTCTTTTTTTAATTCAGATATTGTGGGTTCTCTTTGAAGTATATCTTTTTTATTAATTCGTTTGAGTATTTCAGCAAAATTGTAATCCTTTGGTGGTTTGAGTAATGAAATTAGTTTATTTATTGCTTTTGTTAATGTGATAAATTGGGTAATGATTTCTCTCTTTTCTTCTGGATCATTTATTTTTTCTATAAGGTCTAATATTAAGGTATCTTCTTTGGATAACATATTACAGGAACATTCTTCTATATTCTGTTCAGATCCAGATTGTTCTGTTGAGGATATAAAATAATCTTCATCCTCTATTTGTCCTACCATTGTACTATCAGTGGAAGATTCAGAAGAATCATCATCATATATTTGTATTATATCATATAGTTTATTTCTAATGGATTCTTCTAATATTATAGTATCTATTTTCTTTTTTATTTTATATTGGCTTTTATAATGGCCAACTTTTCCGCATTTATAACATACAGGTAATTTCCTTTTATCCTTATGGTATTTGTATTTTGGAGAGAATCTTTTTATGAATTTATCTTTCTTGTGTTTTTTATAAGATTTCTTTTCTTTTTTTTCTGTCTTATATCTTCTCTTTTTGTGAAATTTATCTCTAGATTTTTCTATATAATATCCGAATTGTTCACATAAGTCTCCTAATTCTTTTTTACCAGTCATTGTTTGTTTATCTAATTGTTTCTTTAATTTCATGTCGGTACATAGGGCTAATCCTTCTGCACATATTTCTGCAGATAATTCTTCTAATGTATAAACAGAATATGGTATTATTCCTCCATTTTTTTTTTTAATCTAGTTTTTACTTTTTCTGCAAATAAATATGGTAATTCAGCAATAAATTTTTCTTTCTAATGATCCTGCTGGCTATCTTTTCTGCTTAATTGTCTGGAAAAAAAACAACATCTTTGTACCATTTATAATGGGATAGGGTTGGATATCTTAAATTAGATAACAAATCTTCAGATCGGGGCTTAAAGTAAGGCTGTACTCCCCACAAAATGAAGTGTGATGGTGTAAATGAGAGTATTAACAGCATCACTTTCGGAATATAAGACATCTTTATTATTTTCATTTTTAACAGTCCATTGGCGAGTATTATTCAAAATTTGTTGTTTTGTATTTTTAGGTAAGTGGAAATCCCACCAACCTCGAATCCATCCTGTGAAACCACAAACAATGGCTTTGGCGACCTCTTGATCATAGTTGCCTACCATTTTACACGCAGAGGCATACATGGTCATATGTTTCATAGTGTCTATATTTGTTGTTTAGATAATCCATCTATAATCCAATTTACTATTGATCTTCCTGAATAGAAAATATTATGGGCTACCAAATCTTCTTCGAATTGTATATCAACAGGGGTAGGTTTATGATGATAGGGCCTAGCTGTTAAAGGTTTCCATGATTTTCCATATACTATTATTTGAATATTATTATTATCTTGTTCATGACTATTTTTCGTAAATGCTTCTTCCATATTTTCTATTGTGTTAGCAAATATGGGTGTCTCTTATTGTAAAGTTAATATAGATGATTCAGGGATTTCTATAGAAATTTTCTCTTTTCCTTTGTCTTGAATGTTTAAAGTTTTTTCTTTAATTTATAATTTAGATAATATATATATATATATATATATATGAGATATTCTAAACTTCACAACCCTTCAAATTCTAAAGGCTCAAGTTAGATAGAGTTGTGAATTATGGATTTATTAATTTTGTAGTATATATTGTTGTAAATAGTAATATAAGGCAAAAGGTACTTTAGTCATCTATATAAGGGGTAAAATTGAAATTTTAGCTAAATGACAAGGGTACTCTACAAATAAAGTTTTAAGATAATAACTTTCAAAATGTACTTTTGTGAAAATTTCAAATTTCCCTGCGCTTAATAGAAGTTTTATCCTCCCCCTACCATCCAGCCGTCCAATTTTGATCAAGATAGGCACTTACCGTTTGATCTTAGATCCGACATCTTAGAGTAATTTATTTTTTGTGTTTTTTATACAAATTGTATGAATATAAAATTTGGTACGTGCCATCTTCTCATTGGGGCGCACCTATATAAAATATTAAAAATAAATTTATAATAAAATATAATGACCAAAATACCCTTGAAGAGAAATAGACATCCAAAATTTGGTGTCAAAATAGTTTATAGAAAAAAAATAAAAAATAAAATAATGTAGAGATGTGACATTGTGATTGGGGCAATCTTAGCCCTCCATTCATAATGGACGATTGGATAAGGGGGATGATAGAACTTCTATACTGTAGGGGAAGCATATAAAGCTTGTCCTATATATAAATGATCAATTTCTTAAGTGCATTTTGGATCATAAATATTCCAAATGGAACTCAAATGGAAACGTTTTAGGGTTGGATTGTAGGTATATGTGCCAGGACCTCATATATATTTGGATTGTTGTTGAGGCGCAAAATCTAGAAATCGTAAAAGGACATTCTCGAGCCTAGTGTAGGAGAGTTATCTATAGAGCATAATATTGAATCTGTCTCAATTATTAAATCCGAGCCGTTGGGTTCATATATAGCTGGAGTCTGGG